CCTCCCTCCCAGCTGGCCCCTCCCTCATAAACCCTTGATAATTTGTAAATTATTATTATTTTGTCTTATCTTACACTGTCCGACGTCTCCCTTCACCCACTTTTCTGTTGTCTGTCCCTCAGGGAGGAGATTATATGAAGATCCTTGTAATCGGTTCCCCCTTTCCACCCCACCCTCCCTCCACTCGCCCAATACTGCCACTCTCACTACTGGTTCTGAAGGGATCATCTGCCCTGCATTCCCTGGGTTTCCAGTTCCTATCTGTACCAGTGTACATCCTCTGGTCTAGCTGGATTTGTAAGGTAGAATTGGGATCATGCTAGTGGGGGGGAGGAAGCATTTAAAAACTAGAGGAAAGTTGTATGTTTCATCGTTCCTACACTGCACCCTGACTGGCTTGTCTCCTCCCCGCGACCCTTCTGTCAGGGGAATGACACATTTCTTACTGAGAGTAAAGAGGACTTAAAGCACTTACTGATGAAAATCAAACACTATCTAGCCTTCAGTATAGATTACATCTCAAATGAAAGAAACCCAAAATCCTCACAACTGGATCAATAAGCAATAGTGTCATATATGGAGGGAAAATTGAAGTCAAGAATTTCATTTTACTTTGGTCCAAAATTAATGCATGGAAGCAGCAGTCAAGAAATCAAGGGATGTATTACATTGGGCGAGTCAGCTCTAAAAGACTGCTTTAAAGTACTGAAAAGCAAAGGGATCACTGTGAGGACTCAGGTGCGCCCGACCCAAGTCATGGTATTTTCAATCACCTCATACGCATGTGAAAGCTAGACAATGAAGAAGGACAACTGAAGAAGAATGTATCAACTTAATTATGATGTTGGCAAAGAAGATGGAATATACCATGGACTGCCAAAAGAACAAACAAATCTGTCTCGGAAGAACCACAGTCAGAGTGCTCATTGGAGGTGAGGATGGTGAAACTTCGTAGTACAAACTTTGAATATGTTATCGGGGGGAGACTAGTGCTTGAAGAAAAGCATGCTTGGTAAATTAAAGGGCTGGGGTGGGTGGGGGAAGACCCTCAATGAGATGATGACCATAGCAGCTGCAACCATGGGCTCAAACATAGCAAGCATTGTGAAGACGGCACAGGACGAAACAGGGTGTCATTCTGATGTGCTATGAATCAGAATCAACCCTTCGGCATCTAAAAAGAACAACACTGGATCTGACATTAGCCATGAGTCTGTCGGGAAAGATGTTGTTGTCTCGGACAAAGTCATAGAGACAATATTTCAATAATGCATCACATGTAGACCATTTGTAATCCTTCTACAGAGAGGACAGCTCACACTAAGAGCCAGAGCAACCGTCCCATTAGGACATTAGGCCTGAGCCAAAGTCTCCCCCAGACATTTAAAGAGAAGTTGGCTACATGCTAGGGAAAAAAGTGTGGAAAGTAGAAATAGAGACATATAAGCATCCCAAACCTGAATTCCTTAAGGGATTGCTAGAAAACGGCAAAACATAATCAGAGTTAGGAACTTTACCCAAAGTTCCTCCAACTTTTCACCGGACTACATAGAAGTATAGAGCTGGAAGGAGCATTCAACCCCACACTTCATATCCAAGGGAAAAGAGGCCAGGGATGTGAAATGACTTTTTCAAGGTCACAGTCTTGTCCAGGCTGCCAGCCCAGATCCATTTCACAATAGCCTGCTACTGGATGGGCCTCAAATCAGCACAGAGCTCTGACCGGAGCCCACGGAGAGAAAAACAATCAAGTGGAAAGTGCAGCAAAAAACACAGTTGGTTGTGCTCGAGTTCCCTTCAAGGGAACATGTTACTAGTTTTCTTCTTTGTTCACTACAAAAATCCACAGTACATTTTTTCAAAATCATCATTTCAGATTCGGTTAAAAGCATTAAAAGGGAAGTAGTTGGCCCACAGCTCTGTCCACAGTCTCGTGCTTCTATGATCAGAAAGGCTGGACAGTCCCAGCGCTTCTTCAGGATCCCTGAACTAGCTTCTGAAACTTTTCTCCAAACACTCACAAGACCTGTCTTCCTCTGTGCCCAGCTCCTCCTGGTCACACGTCTTGGGGCTGAATGAGAATGAATTGTTTTGAGAGGTGATAAAATTCCATGGGAAATCAGCCTGGGTTTGTTTGGTAAATCCAGCATTAATTACACCAAACTTAAGCCAAACGAGTTTCTTGACAGTCTCGACCCAAACTACACAAGACTCAGGAAGCAAGAAGAGCGAAGAACAAAGCCCATGTTGGCAGCAAAACAAAGCCCATGTTGGCAGCAAAAATGCAGACCTCGAGGGGCAGACAGGAAGCTTATAAAAGCTGGCTACATGTACAAGTAAGTCAACAGCCAGGTATTAAGAGACTGAACATATTTTAAAATTGACTAGTACCCTGTTTCCCCGAAA